AAACCGAGGCAATAGTTTTCCCAAAAATGTGTTGCCCCGAAAGCCGATCGCCCATCACACAACGCCGATTTTTGATTGCCGATCGCCATCCCACTCCGTTTGAGAGCTCATTCAATGGGCCCATTAAATCAATCAATTTCTAATATAAACACTTGCGAAAAGAGCTGATTGCAGACCTAACGAGCAGTATATCTGAAATGAATGGGTGCGAGTGGTCGGAGCTCATAAAATGGTGCGGTTCGACCGGAAAGAGCATCAATCTACTATCGATGAACATAAACTGAGGAATTATGAATCACTCCAGTCGTAATTATTCATATTTTCGTGCGTCTTTAGTACTGTCCAGGGCGGATTAGCTCGATCGACGGCTGTATCCATGGCTGGGGGGGTCAAACTCTGCACGATTGTGACGCCGTCGGCAGGCCATTGCACTGGAAAAACTCACCAATGCAGGGCAAGACAGATGAGGCAATGCAGGCTGCACTTCTGACCACCCAAAAGGGATATGAGGAGAAGGATTATGATGAGGAAAATGAGTAGAAGGTTGAAAGTAAGGAATATGAGGATTTCAATGCCCAGCAACACCATCCAAGTTGACGTAGATGACGAGAACTAATTACTTCTTTTTTATTTATAGTTTCTTTATAGTTTATGGCTCGACGGAATATCAGAATTTTACATGAGTGCTACACCTACTGCACTGCGCTCAACATGCATTTAGCTAGTCTGGCCATGAACCCTTTTTACGTATCTACACATGTATGTATGTACATTTACATTTGGCAAGTTCTACAACCACAAAACAATAAGCACGATGGCTAGATGGCCTGCTCAAAGTTACGTATAGCAAATGCTTGAACCAGCAAGCTATAAGCACGATGGCTAGATGGCGCTGCTCAGCAAATGTTGGTAGTTCACATATACATAGTATGATTGATATGAAAGAGATATGATAGCCAGCAAGTGAGAAAAACGATTGTCAGATTGTCAGATTATTAGCAATCTGAATATGTAATATGTATACATATGTACAAACTGTGCAAGCCCCTATACTCAGACTGACTAAACACTAACCGCATCTCGTTCTTCCAACGAGCTTTGTACAGCTGTCTGCTGGAATAAACATTCAAAGCTGAGTGCAATAAAACTATGAAAGCTAGTTGCCATGAAACTCTTAGTGGCTGGGGTAATAACATGATCGCCTGAAGCCAATGCGAAAACGAACTATTACACTGTGTGACAAATGGTAACTTTTTGAATGTAATTTGCCCGAGACAAAAATTAGGTTGTAGGCCTCGATGAGTAAATCCCTTCCTCATACTTTGAATTTGCAATATACCCCCAAAATCTTTTTACAAAATTCGCCCTCTCCTGTCCATTTAGATAACTTTCGGTACAATTGGAATTCAATTTCAAATATGTCTAGCTCTGAACTGATTTCAAAGGAAAATTGATCCGGCGTAAGCAAATCTTTGGAACACATGTTCCGTCTATGCTACGAGTACTTACGCATATCCTAAACCGATTTTCAGACCCATTTTAAAAGGAAACGCCATTAAACGGATGCCCTCTGGGCATCTCTTTACGAATACTCCTCTGCCCCATTTGGACAGTGGTCTGCCTTTTCCTTGTTTTTCGGGGGACTTTCTTGCGTTGCCAATTTGTTGTTGTCTCCTCGGGTTCGGGTCTTTGCTCTAATTAGGAACATCAATTGGTCATTTAAGCAATAATAAGCGAAAGCGTCAAGAACTGAGTCGGAGGCGGTGCACGGGAGGGTTTTTGTGTGGCGAAAATATAAATTGCAAGCAATTCGTGCAATTAATTTTCCATTTCAAATTAGCGCAGAGTGGCCCGACAGCGGAGGAGCCGAGAGTAGGGGCCAGGCTAAAGGATATGCGACAATTACGGGCTGCCGAAGATTAAATGCGAGTGCTGAAAATGGAAAGACTGCCAGGAATTCCTTCGTTCCCCAAGCATTTGCATGCCTGTGGCTAGGGTTCTGCGACCCACATTTCAGGACATCACTGAGTCACCGCAACACGAACAGGATCTGCTTCCGAATCTGCTTCCGAAGGAAATCGAAGGAAATGGGATGGGTTGAGATAATCTGGAATGAGATGGGGTACGGCTAGACAAATTGCACAGGCAGATAGGACCGGCTTGCTCCGATCTCCCCTTGGGCCTGCTTCTGTTCTCCTTGCGACTGACTTTGATTAAATGCGTGTTTGATTTGAAAATGCTTTCATTAATTAAAGGCGCCGCCACCTTTTCCGCTGCCAAGGCACCAGCAACAACGCCTCGCATAATTATAAATTATTTTTGGCTAAAGCCTATTTGACCTCGTTTCGCCATTATGTTATGGCCTCGTGTTTGAGTACTTTATTTCCGCTTTCTCAAATTTTCATTGAAGTTTTATCTCGTATCTGTCGACAGCTAATTAAGCCCGAGGAAAAAGCAACATGACTGCGAGGAGCGAGGCGAGTATAAACAAGCAAAGATTTCCATGGAAATCAATTTGAAGCAAACGAACTTTGAGCTGCACTTAGCCAGGGTCCGGGATCTCCTCGTGCATTGGGCGGAAAATAAGTGAAAAATAAAGGGACAGATTCTAAAATTCTTTTATATATTTTCCAGTACAGAAATGTTTCTGGCCTGTGGATTTTTATATTTATTTATTTTGCAGTTGTTAAAGGCCAAAGCTTAAGTTTCAAAGTAGCCACTGACCTGCACTAATGGTCAAACGGACTGTAGGGACAGTTAACGGATCGAAAACGTTTCCATTACTTAATATTAAGCAACACTCAGAAACGCAACGAGATGTTATGGTAGACTAGACCCTTTTCCATTTGCATAAATCATTCCTCAACAGGAACTCCAGTCGTCATCTCAGCACCCAAAAGAGCCCACAGAATTCCCGCAAATTCAATACCTACTTATCCCACATGATTGCATTTCAATCATTGGGGGAGCTGAGGCCGAGACCGAGACCGAGACCGAGACCTAGGCCGATGCCGACTGCCCCGCCCTGCAGCACGGGCGCCCGCCGCTCCGTCATGAAGAGGTCGACTAGCTGGCATACAAGACTAATTAATTTCACTTTACGTGACTTGCATGGCCAAGAGGTCCACGGAATTATGGCACATTATGTCAGGAGGATTGGAAGTGCGAAGAGCTGCTAGCAAAGAAATAATTAAATGACCATTTAGCTCAAAGACTGTGGGGATTGGGAGATGTGGAGTACGTAAACGTTGTGGCAACACAGCGACTAGGGCCTACGGCTTGGGCCAGGACTAGGACCAGACCACTGCACTGGCCGTTCTGCCTAATGCAGTTGCAGTTCGATGATTGAACGGTTTCGTGCCTTAACTTTAACGTGAAGTGGGCTGAAATGAATCATCCGACATGTGCGCCCGGGGCCTTTGCCAGGCCGTGTGCGATATGTGTGGCATACGTTAGTCCTAATTGTATTTGAAATTGTCCAATTTCGGAAAGAGCTTCAGTCATGAATATATTGCGCACTTCATTAGAGCGTTAAATATACTTAGCAGAGTGCCGAACATTTGCTTATGTTCCACCAGAGCCAGCAACGAAAACGAACTGTGCGAGCACCAGTAATGTATGAATAAATAGCCCCGAAAATAGACAAGAATCGGCGCAAAAACTTCATCAAACTGGCAACAAAAGTAATAATAATGAGCCGGCAGCCACAGGCACAGGCACAGGAACAGGCACAGCCACAGCCACAGAAGCAGCAATAATAATAACACTAACAAAGAAAAGACCGGGGCGAAAGAAAACACCAAGGTGAATTTATGTTTTCATAGTGGGGGGGAAGGCTGGGGGCACAAGAGAACACAGAAAGATTTTAAAAGCCAACAATGGCAACAGCTTACCGAACAAAAACAAAAACAGCAACAGAAACAGAAACAGATAAGAGTCCCCTACCAAAGGATACGTACCCAACCCGCTGAACGTGGCGCAGAAAATGTTCACAAAGGTGTGATGGAGAGTGTATGGAAGAGAGACGCCGCGGCGTCTCCCGCCGGAATCACTGACTGACTAATCGTAAAATATACTATAGATTGGCAAATCGTTCCCTGCATTACTGTATCCGTCTTTGCCACCAATGTCCATAAAATACTCAAGAGTTTTCCTCTTTATCTCATTTATACTCGTAAAAGTGTTTGCGTTTATTTGATATATGTGAATACTCGTACATATGTATGTATGTACAGATGTACATATGTACCTCACAGATATTTTGACTTCTTTCGTTAATTCTTAAGCATATTTTGAGAAATTTATATCAAATTATAGAGAGATACAGTGCGTCAGATATGTGTATTAATTTACATATGTATACATATGTACTTATGCACATACTATGTACGGTGTTTGCGGTATTTGCGACTGACTCAAAGGCTTAAACAATAACTACTGAACAACGTTTAGAATTATTAAAAAAAAACCAAAAAAAAAAGAGTATTATTGTGCTTTGCGAACCAGTTATCGGAAGAAAGAGGAGTATAGGCGTATAAGATGAAGAGACAAAAGCCAAAATACAAAAAAAAGAATGTTATCTTCGGGGTCCGATAGCCTTTTGATAGCATTGCAGCTTGTTGGATCTTTACAATGGAGTGATCAGGTTCATATTTTATTGGATAGATATGTTAGATATATGTACATACATATGTATGTAAATATATGTATATGGTGGGGCGCTCCAAGCTGAGCAGCTAGGAACAAAGATGGGACCTTGTTGTGTTTGAATCTGTTTTTGAAGCTCGAAAATATTTGATATGAAGACTTATCTCTTTGGCATTTGGTGTTTCTATCATTCTCTTGACCTCTTCTCTGTCGCTCTTTTTTTTCTTTTGCTTTTCTTTCGACTCTGCCCGTTTATCTGAGGCTTATGGTTAGACTTTGGCTGCGGACTATGCTTCTTCGTTTTGTTTCTTCTCCTCTTCTCCTCTTCCCATGCTCCGACTTCTTCTTCTGTGCTTTTTGACCTACATACTAACGACTATTAGATAACATAATCGAATAACAGTTCAGGCAGCAGCAGCATACATACATATGTATGTACATATGCGTCTTACGTTTGTATCTTCAATTTTTTACACTTAACTAACAGACTTGAAGGCAAACAAAAGAGCGGGGTGGCGCACAAATTAGCACTGACTCTTGCCCTCAAAGTGTATTCATATTGTGAGGTGAGGCATTCCCCATTCCCGAGCTCACACCTGTGGACCGACACAAGAAGGGAGAGCGAGTGTACCCCACCTTGCATGAACACACCTTGTTGGCTCTTCTTCTGACAGCCAGTGAGACTCGAGTAACTGAGAGCGGACTTAAAGTACCAACTGAGAGTGATCAAAGCTTTCCGTAGCGGAGGGGAGGGCGGTGCCTACACTGTTTGGGTGGCCACATCCCGTAGACGGCTGCGTCGATAGTGGGCATAGGCCTCCAGGCCATTGATGCTGAACGCTGTGAGTCCGAAGAACTGCAATAGAGAGGACGAAGTGGGTATTAGCCTCATAGTAATCATTTGTAATCATTGGCATAGTGGCTTACCGCTGCCGCCGTATAGGCCCCAATGTCCAGAGAGAGCACCAGCCCAGAGGCCACAAAGTAGGACACCGCCAGCGTGGAGTGGACGCCGAGAGACCAGAGCGTTGCATCGCACCGACTGAAGTACCGTTGCCATAGGCGCAGGTAGCGGGCAAGCAGCAGCGTAAGTGTGGCCGTGAAGCCCAGCGCAGCCACGACCAAGTAGAAACTGCCCCGAAAGTTGCTCACTCGCACCGGTCCGCACAGAATGAACAGGAAGCCGATGAAGCTGCTCAGCTTAAGAGCACAGAGAGAGGTAGAGAGAGAGAGAGAGAATTAGAGAGAGCTTTAGAGTCTGACCACCAACTCATTAAGGTGGAGTGAAATGGAGTGGAAGTGGAGCTTACCATGCAGGCGATCTTGCAGATGCCCCCCATGCTGCGCAAATACTTCCGATCATAGTCCTGGCCGGCAGACATAGTGGACATTCCCGCAAATCCACAAATTCGACAACGATATGACAACTAAACTCGAAAACTCGATAAGATTTTAACGACAGCCCGGCAAAAGTATTTTCACATTGCGCGCTCTCGGGCACGCACAGAACGCCACTGAACGAACGCCACTCAGAACGATTTTGTGTGCTGGACGCCGCGAGGCGACGCGCAGCGTCGGAGAAAAGGCCATAGCAAAAACTAAAATTATGAGAGAGCGAGCCCAGAGCTCCATGAAGACCTTGAGCGGGAGGGAGTGGCGGGGAGAGCGTGGGGCCATGCATACGCTCTCCAGCCCAACTGAGAGCCAAAACAGATGGCACAGTGGGCCAAGTGATGGCGAAATGATGGCAAAATTCAACTGGTGGTTCGTCGATTAACGGACACTCAGTTCGCTTACTGTGGTATACAATTGTGTGCAATCAAGAGGAGATACAAATCATTCAGTCAGTTCCGAATCAATCAACTTGTAGGTAATCTCTGTGTACTGGGAAGTAAAATCTTTTGAATTGATGATAATTGTTTTTGCGATTTCGTGGCTGGCTTCACTTTGGGTGATGTAAGCGGCAAGGTCATGACTCACTCAATGACGGTGACTGTAAAGGGAGAGGAGAGGCCACCAATAATCGCCCCACTGTGCAATGACTGTTTCGCTCTGCTGAGCGATAATATCTCAACACAACTCTATCTCTTCAACTCAATACGATTCATATGCGGGCTCGACCTTATCAGTGCGGGACAGAGACAGAGAGAGCTAGAGAGCTAGAGAGCTAGAGAGCGGGTGGGTGGGAGAGCCGCTGTCCGATCGCTTGGTGTTATCGTAGCTGTTTGTTAATTGATTGAGCAACCAAGCAACAAGTACATAATCCCCCGCGACGCTGTTGGTGGATCTTGTGATGTGATGTGCGCTCCCAGTGCTTATGCAAATGCGAGAATCCAAATCAAATGCACTTGCAGCGTGATTCATACCACACGTCACACAAAAGCACAAACGGAGAGGCTGGCATCGGAAATGTTGTGTTGCAAAAGCAGCGACCAGTGAACACCCTTCTTCGATAGAGAACCAATTGTATGGGGGTACATTGTGGACTTGACAGTAGATACTACAGTAGATACGTGTACTGTCCTGTTCGGTGGGGTCATTTTTATGCCAGAATATATTTTGATTTAGTTTCCAGTGGATCGGTGCACTTATATTACATTGACCGCAGCTGTGGCTACGTCTATTTCTGCTCCGCCACATGTTCAACTTCCACGCAGTTTGTTGATAAACCTGGGGTGAAAGTAGGGCAAATCGAAACACTCACATTCCTACGCGACCTGCGAGAAAATTGAGTTATATTAATTGATTCATATTCATGGAGACTACACACATACACTTTGGGGACTGGAACTGGGACTGGGACTGGGACTGGGTGCTCGGCTCGTGATGGGAAGATGATGGGTTGATAGGTGGGTGGCCCGCCCATTCCGCCCAAGGCCACTTATACAATTGCTTGCTGTCAAAATCAGATTCGGAATGGAAAGCGGCGACAAATGGGAGGGGAAATGGCAGGAATACGAAACAGGGAACTGACTCTGAACTGCCACGCCCAGACCCAGCGGAAATGAAACTAGGCACAACGACAACATCAGACAGGAAATGACAAAAGGCAAAGTGTGAACATAAACAATAATCACAGCGAACAGCGAGCAGTGAACAGCGAAAATTGAGCTGGAGGCGGACTCAAAGCGAATGATTGTCTAATGCCGACTCAAACAGAATGCACTTGAGAAATGTATCAGAGAACTGCACAGAAAGAGAAGTGTGACTCGTAAGAGAGAAAAGAGCATCGGCAGGCATGCATTTCCATGGAAAGCGAAAAGCTTGCTTAAACGACTTCTAAAAATAGATGTGCATGAATCTTTGTACTGTGCTTTTGTGGTGGAACGCGAATTGCTCATCGATACAAAAACACATCATAATCCAGGACGGGCGTGCAGTGGGGCTGTTGGTTGATGGTGTCCACTCAAGGGAATCCGCTAAGTAACTGTAACTGTAAATGATGATTTCAATGGTCCCATACTCTGTGTCTGTGTCTGTGTCAGTGTCAGTGTTATCTCCGTTGAACATCTTAACCCAATTAACCTTCGATACCATAAGAGAGCCACGTGGCTTTTGTTCATAATCGAACAGAAGTGCAGAAAATGTAATGTTGCTATTTCGAATAATGTGCATGAAAGTTCTTTCCAGTTCATGATTCATGTACATGACTGAGCGCTCGCAACTCCATGCCACTCGGAGTGCCTGGAATGCTCGGAGTACCCCTGTATCCCTGATTTTCCACACATGCCATCTGGGTAGCGGTCTGTGGGAGGGGGGAGTGAGTGCATCTAATTAGAAAAGCAGTGGCCGTAATTGGCAACTGCTGCATCAGCGGGTCGTTGTTTGCTTTGGCTAGAACCAGGGAACATGGCCAGGACCATGAGATGTTTTCGCTGCGCTGAAGCGATCACAAACAATGTCATTGGCGAGGAATGGATCAACTTTCGGTCTAGCTTGGCCAATTAGTGGAAAGGTGTTGTTGGCTCCTTCTCTGAGAAGATAATTAATAATACACTTCCAACAGCTGTGGCAGTCATTTTTCAATGCGACAGTAAGAGTGCGAGGGTTCTTGGCAGCTGTGGGACGGGCATCGAAGACGTACTATAAAAAAAAAACAAAGAAACTGATAGCTTGGTATCTGTCAAATACATTCACCTCACACTCCGTTCTCTCGCACTCCTCTACCAAAATCCATTCGAATGCAAACTCCCTGCACTGGCTGTCAGGACGATTCAATGCCCACACTCTGCAGCTGACAACACCAGCAGTCCTTTGAGGAACACCCGTAAGACAGCACCAGCACCAGCACCAGCAGCAGCATCAACACCCCCGGAGGCCTCAAAAAACCCCTGTAGAACCCCCTGGAACCCCTGTAGGACAGCCCTGTATCTGCCAAGTGAATTTGAATCGGAGTCTTTTTCTTTTTTTTTTTGTTCGCCTCCTCTGCTCCATCTTAACGTTGTTTTTATGTGATTTTGTTTCTTTCTTCTGTGAGTTGTGCGCATTGTGTGGCCGACAGCAGCCATCTGCCCAGGGCTGTTCCAGGGCCGAGATCCCAGAACCCAGAACCCAAAACCCAGAACCCAGAACCCAGATATCACCCCCACCAACAGCGAATGGGAACAAAGTCGCAGCAAACATTTATGCGCCTTATAAATGATTATCGTGTGCACTCAAGTGCCATCGTCATCAATCAAATGGACCGAGTGCAACAGGATGCCAACCCATCCCCAACATTTCCACGAGTCTCTGCCTCTGCCTCTGCCTCTGTCTCTTATTTGCATCTCTTAAGAGTACGACTATTTGCATGAAACTGAATAATAACTCTCGTTAAATCCGTCTTCTCTCGTTGCAAACGCCAATGTATGTCAGCACAGGGCTGGAGACATCAAACCGTTTCATCAAACCTACCCTGCAGAAGTAGGTTGTTCCCAATCTAGAAGGTGCAGCAGAACTGCAGATGCTAAACATAATTTATTTGAATCTTCATCCTTTTGGAGTTCCATTCGATTTAGCTTTTCGGTATCGTAACGATGTGGACAGGGCATTCCAAATTCGATGCCCATTTCGTGTTCGTCGTGTAATTTATGCTAATGAATTGCTCCCCGTTTGGTCCGATTACACTTGCCGCCAATCAATCTATCAATCAATCAAGCCAGGTCGAGTGCTGCTCATTAATGGCACTGCTACGATATGAAACTCGTCCAACCCCCACCCCCACCCCCTTCTTCCTCTTCCTCTTCCTCCTGTAAGTGTTTGTTTCTCCTCTGGACTTTCTTTTCCTGTCTCAATCAATTTCTAAAATGTTGAGTATCAAATCAATTTAATTGGCATTTTATTGGCCCCGTCCACCCACTGGGCCGCCGGTCCTGTCCATTTCTATCTCCCGCTGGCTTCTTCTTGTACTTTTGCTTCTACTCTTACTCTTCGATATGTATGTACGTATCCTCCAGTATCTGTAATCTGTATCTTCTTCCTCGGACTCCCCTCGATATCGCTGCGTTCGCACGTTTTCAAGCAATTTTCTCTGCCTGATTTTTGATGAATTTATTTTGCTGGTGGCTTGACTGGAAGTCCGTCCCCTTGCAGGTCCTGTGTACTGTGTAGTACGGCCACGTCCGTGTCTCGGTGCAAGCTGCATGGCCAGGATTTACGACTGTTGTTGCTCCAAGGCGATATTTGGCACTTCTGTAAGTGCTTGGTTGGCTCTCAAAAGTTGTCTGCCATCAACCCAGGAAGGCTGCTGCTGCTACTCCTACTGCTACTGCGGATGGGTTCCTCCTTTCCGGCCAGGTATGCAATTGTTTTCGGCCAGAAACAAAAAAGGGAAAATATATATTTTCAATTGAAAGCGTGCCAGCATAGATTGGCTTCCAAGTCGATCTGACAGAGCAAGTCAGAGTGGCCAGGCACGTAGACCACTGCCACTGCCACTGTAACTGCTACTGCCACGTAGTCAGAAAACTAAAAATAAATTTACGTTTGCATGTGTGATGCGGAATCTATTCAGCTGCACTCGGGGAAACTTGGCAGCGGGCTTCCCAATGGAATTCGAGAATTCGAAAATAAATGCCAGATACTGTGAATGCTTTGGAGGATTATTCATTCTTCATTCTTCATTCTTCATTCTTCATTGTTAGTTTTTATTTTTTCTCAGTGCACGAGATGGCCAGATGCTAGCTGCTGCTTGCCATGCACTTTGCATGCCCTTGATTGCGGTGTGATTTCTGGATATTTTCAGTTATTAAGCGAGTCAATGCTGCACTTGTGGTATATGTTATTCATGCTAAATGGAAAACCGACTGACTGATGGCGCACCACTTGACTTTGACGTGACTTTGGTTCGCCCTGGGTGGGAACACATACAGACGACATTCCCATTTGTACGTATGTACTGAAGATGGATAATGAAACGGTGCACAGGTGTGCTTTAAATCAAAGTCACGCGCTATGATTGATCGGGGGCGTTACACCTGAAAGCTTGAAAGACTGTCTGACAGATGTCCAGCTGGGCGAAGTGGGTTGCAAAAGTAACA